GAAAGAAAATGTGAGTCCCATTGATCAAAATTTATGATGAATTTCAGGATGGCAACACACAGCACCTGACCAGGCGGGGCCTGTCTGAGCAGCCGTGCAGGTCGCCCAGCGGGGAAACAGCCCTGGACTCTGTCTTCTCATTAAGCCCTGAAGTCTGTAGAAAAGAAGGTTCCCCTCAGTTCCCTTCACCCCACCTCCGGGGGTCACAGGACCCCTCATACCTGACCTCTCTTCCCCAGAGCCTCCCCTGAAGTTTTCTCAGAGTCTGTCACTCCTGACCCCAAGGCCCAAGTCCTGGGGCAGCACCTCGAAGCCATGCTGTTGTTCCTGGCCCTCAGTCCTCTCCAGTCCCACCTGCAGCGCCCAGGGGAAGACTCTGCCCCTCCCTGTCCTTAACTACCCAGCACAAATCCTGGCCTCCACACCTGCTGAAGGCACAGCAGGACCAGACATTTGCACATGCGGCCCCTGGCCCCGGGACCTGTCCTGCCCCTCACTTTCTGCCCCACTCTCCCTGAGATGCCTCTGCCTGCAGAGATGCAAGGCCGAGGCTCCCACTTCTATGTAAGGGGGGAATAGCAGGGGGCGATCCAGGGGCTCAGGATCTTCATGAGGATGAGGGACCCCAAAGGGCTGAGTAAGACTTGGTTCACTGGGCTGGCGTGTGTCAGGATGGGAACATCTAAAGGATACCTTTTCTGGGGTTTTCCTGGTCCCTTAGCACCCTTGGTAGTGAGCAGCAGAGGCCTGCTTCATCACGTGCAGTTCCGTCTCCCTGATCTGTCCTTCGTTCTGTCCTAGAGGGGCGGTCTCCCCTTGACCGGCTCTGTCCTGACCATTCTCACCAGTGGCCTCTCCTTCCACAGCGCCCAAAGTGTCTTGGGTTAGGGTTGCCAAATTCAACAAATCAAAATACAGTAGGCCTCATTAAATATAAGTGTCAGATACACACAATTTTTTAGTATAAATATGCCCCATTGAGTATTTGGGATAGGCTTATGCTATAAAAAATGGAATATTTGGGACATAGTTGTACTTTTTAAAAATACAATGTTTGATATATACTCATATACAAAATTATCCATTGGGAATCTGAAATTCAAATTTAACTGAGTGTCCTGCACTTTATCTGGCATTCCTATCTGGGATATGTCTTGGAGTGTTAGAGCAGGAATAGCTTTGGATTTAGAAAGTCTAGAGCCTGGCTGAAAGGTCATTCAGGCCATCGCCCTGTCTTTCACTGTGCTTGATTCATCAGTTTCAGCCCCTTGGTGGACAGGCTGCTCCACGGCTCCCCTATCCACATGTGACACCACACGCAGAACCTGACTTGCCCAGCACTGACTCTGAGAATGGCTGGCTCGGCTTGGGTCAAGATCCACCTGTGAGCCACAGGGCTCAGGTGAAGGCGTGGGCCAAAGGCTAAGTGTAGCAGCCTCAGCCTCACTCTGGGTGGGTTGTGGCAGGGGCTGCAGGAGGAAAGCCTCACTTGGAAAGCTGCCACACACTCTTAGAGCGTGTCTCCCACCTGGACTGCAGGAGGCCACTGCTCACAGTACCTCCCTTTGGCCTCTATCCCAGCTAGCTTGCAGCTGTCCACTGGACCCATTAGGATACGCAGGAATAGACTCGGAGGCAGCTGGGGGACACCTGATCACAGCTGTGGGTCTCATGCCCACACTCCACATCAGACTTTGGGGACTGAGGAGGAGGGGTGTGTCACAAAAAGAGCTCTGAGAGATTTGGAGCGCCCATAATGACTGGTCTGGAGGGCAGGTAAGCAAAGCACCTGTCCAGGAGACGGAAGTGCACGTAGGAGAAGCTCCGGCAGAAAGCCCCGGGGATGGAGGGTTGTTCCGGAAAAGAAAGAACTGGCCATTCCCACTAGATAAAGCAGGCACCAGCCCAGCTCAGAAACTAAGCAGATGACAGGAAGACTTCCTAGCTGAGGGGCTGGCTGAGCTGGGAGCAGGTGTGGCGCTGGGCCCGGCCAGCAAGTCAGCCTCCTTCCCAGATTCTAGCTGAGGTTTGGGGGCATCAGAGCGGGCCGCACAGAGCCCGGATCGGTCGGGTACACGAATTTATGCTGTGGGCGGTCGAGTGCTTCGCAGCCGTGCCCCGCAGAGCGCGCTTGCGCTTCTGCATCCAGCACCTGCGCTGAAGCACCAGCAGGGGGCAACAGGCTGCCTTTGGCCGACCACGATCTTGCCGCCCGCAGCAGCTCCGGTCGGCCAAGGGCCAGCACTCTTGTGCCTCTCTGGGATGGGCTTCAAGTGGTGCTCTGTTCCGGGGCAGTCCTCTGGTCCAGGGGCCCGTCGTGGTGACCGGGTAGTTGACGACCGGTGCGGGGAAAGTGTGCCAGCGGGGTCTCCTGAGGGTCCTAGGTCCCACCGGAGGCAGCATCCTAGCTGCCAGATGCGCTGGCTAACCTGGCAGGGCTGGGGACGAGGTGACTCGGACGAGTACCAACCAGCATGGCCAGGGCGACCCTGAATGTTCGTTGAATAAAGGTTCTGCACATACGTGAGCCCGCGTTGTCCTTGTCACTAAAGGGAGTGGGCTTGGGCTCCCCCAATCTCCCACACCACGGTTCTGGCCCTGGACTCGGGCACTCTGCGAGGATTGCATCCTGAGAACAGGTGGGGCGTCTCAACCAACGCCTGACTCCGCGGTGCTGGGCAGAGCTTGGCAGGGAGGACGCGCTGGGTTTGCTGCGGGAACCATGGAGGAATTCCTGAGAACCGGTTCACAAAAAAGAATTGGGCGACTGACTGTACTTCACAATTACTCTGACCTGGTGCCATCGTCTGCTCCTCACCCCTCCTCTTCCTTCCCTTCCTCTTCCTTTCCCACTGTCCTCTCCCTGCCCCTCTCATCCTGTCCGACCCCTATCACAAGGTAATGACTGCTATGCAGGCTTTTCAAGTCAACATTGTCCCATTTCTGACCATCCTTGTTGCCGCTCCAGGGGTTATTAGGGAGCAGCGTCCCCCTCCCCCTCCACTTGCAGTTGTCAGCCCTGAGGAAGGTAAGCCCCTGTGAAAGAGGTGAAGAATCCCTGTAGTTTTGAAAACAGGTTTCCCTTTTTGCAAGCCAAGGACAAGAAATTAATTTTGCAGCAGCACTGGCCCTCAAGCATGGCAGAGCAGGATGAAGGTGGGGGAAGCCGCTTCTCCCTGACCTAGGAAGACCTGGGGCTCCTGCAGAGCTACCTCAGATACACTTGTCAAAATTTTCTTATGCATATTCTATAAATGCCCATGCTTTTATTATTGACACATTAAAAGACAAGTCTGAAAACACCATAATTTTGAAGTAGTGATGAGTGTATGTATAGTTCAAGATATCTGGGACAAATGTAATTAATATGACAAGGTCCCGGGCACTATGGATGAGGTGAACAAGGTCATTTTCCTACTTGAAGGAAAAACAAAATTTCAGTGAAAGACAATAAGGAGGTACCATATTTTCAGACTATAAGGCTCACTTTCCATCCCAAATTGGGGGGGGGGTATGGAGGTGTGTCTTATCATCTGAACGTAGTTACCTGGCTAGTAAATGTAGTTTACATTTACATTGGTCAAAATATTTTGTTATTTATGTTATTAAATATTTTACCACATTTTTTGCCTCAAAATTTTTCCCTTATTTTCTTCCTCTAAAACCTAGGTGCATCTTATGGTCTGGTGCATCTTATAGCCCTAAAAATACAGTATTTTTTTCCTTATCCAAGTTCATGGATTCCCTGAATTTTCCCCACAGACTCTAGGTTAAGAACCACAAAGTGGCTCTCAACCAGCATTTAAAATAAAATCAAAGCAGAGAAAAAAGGCATGTCAGGTACATCTCACACAGGGAGATGAGAATCAGTTGGGAAATCTTTGCTGGTCTGTGGTTCTGAGCCCAGAGCTTGCAGCCAGACCCACTTGAGTTGGACCCTTTTCTGCCACGAACGGCTGGGCGACCAAGATCAAGCCCCTGTGTTCTCTGTGCCTCAGAGGTTTCCTTTGCAAATGGTGATAATGGGAGTCTGTCCTCACAGGCTGCTGTGAGCAGGGAGTTCTGGTGGGACGGGGCCTGGCACTTGGCATGATCGTTGTTTGGCTGTTGCAGTTCGATAGATGTGTGTGTGCTCTGTGTCGCAACATAAAATGTGTTTCTTCCTGTGGATCAGGGTCCGAAGTGTTTGGAAGCCTCATCCCTGGAGGATCCTGGAACTCAGACCTTGGCAAGAACTCACATGGGACCCAAGGCTTGGGAAAGAGGATAGGAAGAATATGCAAGGTCTGGGGTCTGCATCAGTTTCCCGTTGCTGTTATACTAATTTACCGAACTTCAAGGAACACTGTTCTTTTCAAGTTCTGGCTCTCCCCTTTGCCTATGTTGATGTCTGTGCCTGGAATGACCTCCTCCCCCTGTTTCCACAGTCCTCACTCAGTCTTTAGGACTTAGCTCAGACATTGCCTCCTCCAGGAAGGCTTCCATGAAGCACCCTGCCACCCCACCTCTGGGAAAGTGCCTGTGCAGGAAGCCCTGCATGTATCCCCATCAACACAGATGCCACAACCAACTGCTACCATCTGGTCTGCTTCTGCAGTCATCCTGCATGGGGTGCCCTTCAGCAGAACACCTGGACTCTTCTTTACACCCCCAGAGGTCAGGAGAACCCGGCTTGGGTGAAATCTTGGCAAATGTGTGCAGAGTGAGTGAATGAGTGTCTTCCCCAAGGCCCCTTGCTCGCTCAGAGAAACCTGGAACTGAGCCCGGGCCAGCAGAGGCCAGCTAGCTGGGCTGGGGTGGGGGCAGCATCCTTGGAGCCCAGAATCCTCAACAATTGTGAGGTCGGCCCCAGGTCAGTCCTGCATCCTCAGGGAATGGGGTGTCAGATGCCCCTCTTGCCTCACTCTGCAGCTGCATTTATTGAGTTCAATCCAGAGGCCAGATCCCCCACAATCTCAGAGGGCATCAGTCACACCCAAGAACCACCCCTGGACGCACTGTTTCTGCAGAAGCTTTATTGATTGGATTCTGATTCAGTGCCTGACGTGGCTATTCTGGTGCCACCACCAGTCTGATGACCTCAGCAGGGTGATCCACACCCCCATCCCTGAGGGTCCAGGAGCACTCATGACGGTGTGCTTTGTGGCGCTACAGTGGGCATCGGTACTCGAGGATCACCCCAATGAAAACCGATGCTCTTGATGCCGAGGAGCCCATACTGGCCGAAGATTCCCGTGACCACCTCTCCAAGCTGGTCAGGGTAGACCACGAAGCTTTGACCATCTTCCTTCCCAAAAGTGGCCCAGCGCCCGAAGTCGGTGTATATGATCAGATGCCGGAGGTAAATCTTATGCGAGCCGTATACCCCTACAATGTGTTCACCCGGGAACAGGATGAATTCCTGGACATTCCCACCTGAGACACCAAATGCTTCACTCCAGGAGGATCCATATCTCACCTGGATACTGAGAGAAAGTGGGAGATTCGAACACTCTGGATCCAGGCTGACTCACAGTTCTCCAGGTCCTCTATCCCCCCCACCCACTCCTCCCCTCAGCCACCGGCCGGGAGAGTGGCCCTGTCACTGCGGCACAAGCCCTTGCACACAGGGCTTGGGGTTCCCGAGCCAGACACGCTGGTCTCAAAGCCTGTACTGCCGCTTTTGGGAGTGGTCTTGGGCTTGTTACCCAGCCTCTCCAGGCCGCAGTTTCTTCACTTGCAGAGTGGGAGATTATTGGAAGCAGGCACTGAGCTCATGCGTAAAGAGAGCTCTGTGCGGTGCACAGTCCCCATGGCCCTGAAGAGGTACCAGCTGTGGTCCCTGCTCAGACCGAGAGAGCTGCTCTCTAGCCAAGCTTGGCTGTTCTGAGTCCAATTCACGCCAACAGATCAGGTTGCAGGCCTGAGACGCAGGTGACCTCACACTCACCTGGGGGGGAATTCCACTAGCTTTGCTCACCTGAGCTCACCTGTGTCCTTCCTCCCACCTTGGTGCCTGTCTCAGAGTCTCCTGCTCCATTGCCCCCTGCCCATGCTATGTCCCCTTTGGTACCGGCCGCTTTGCCCTATTTCCCCTCCCTGGTCCCGGTCCAGGGGCTCCTTTAAGTACAGATCAAAGGCTTCCCCCGGCTCTGAGCAAGGACTCCGCCCGACCATTAGGGAAATGGCCCTGGGCTTTCTGCCTCTACACACTTCTGGCCGCTTGTGTTCAAGCAGTGGTCCACTCTGACCCTCACTTCCCTTCCTCCGTGACCCTAACCTTCTCCCTAGTTTTTCCATCAGGCATTCTCAGACTGAAAGGCTGTTTTTGATGAGTTGAGTTTGGGTTGAAAGGAGAAAGTAGGGAGAAACATCATCTATTCTCTTCTTTAGATCAACCTGGAAAGCAGTGTCTGGACTTCCAGGTAGAGACAGGAAGAAGCGGGCAGCTGTGTAGGAGAGGAGGCAGCTTTGGGAAGGAAGCGGATGGAAAGGTGGTGGCTGGCGGCTCCCTGACTCCAGGGACTCAGTGGGCCTCAGAGAGCCAGCAGGAACCCAGTTAAGATGTTGGAGAAGAGTTGCTAAGCCCCCCTCCCCAAGTCCCCAAGACTGTGTGTGGCATGAGTTAGGACACAGTGATAGAGCTCCATGCCCTGCTCCTACTCACCTCTTAAATATGCCTATAAAACTTTTAGACACCCGAATCCCAGTTATATCATTTTCATAGTCTGGAGAGGTACTGAAATTCCAGCCTCCTCCATTCCCAAACATCTCTAGATGGACGAAAAGATGAGTTAGGGGAGAGAAAAAAATATCATGATAATATGTAGGTTATCTTTGAGCAGAACTGGACAAAGCCCCGTCAGGCAGATGGGGCAGTTGTGGGACAGGAGTTAACTAGGGCTGGGCCCAGACCCTGGGTGACCTTGTTGGAGGAGGTGAGGGTAGCCACCAGGGGGAAGGGCCGGGGGGAGGCAGACCCCGCCAGACTTACGCCCTGCCCAGCAGGTGGTGCTCCAGAGGACGGCAAGCGTCAGCCACAGCAGCATGATTTCTGGCTGGTGAGTCCCGAGGCTCCTGGAGAGAGGGGACAGGCCACTGGGCTCTCAGAGAGGGGCCTGGCCTGATCTTGCCAGGCCCCATCCATGGGAGGGCAGCACTGACCTACCTGGCCAGAAAAGTCTTGTCACCCAATGCTGACCCCCTCCACCCGGCCTTTTATACCCTCCCGGGCCCTGTGGGCCCCCATCCAGAAGGAAGGAGCAGAAGCCACCACGGGGGCAGAAGAAGGAGCTGGTCGGTGAGGGCTCTTCCTGGGGGAATCCCCAGAGCCATCCTGGGGGAGGCTCCCGGACGTGCTCTTTGTTGCCTTGGCCTCTGGTCCTGTGCAAACAAAGCAGGACTGTGACAGGAATTTTACTGTTGTCGCTGAGTCTCTCTTCTCAGCACCTGTACTAGATCTTGACCTTGAAGGTGGGGAGAGTTTGCTGACAGCTCTTCCCAGGATAGCCAGACAGGTTGCAGCCACACAGGGGCTGCAGGTCGAAGGCCCACAGAGGGCCCGTGGGGCCCAGGGCTCCTGCCTTGTGCACAGCTGGGTGCAGGACTTCAATGAGGTCTGGGTGGAGCCTGGTGTCCCCTGAGCTCTCAGGAGCCCAGGTCGAGTTCCCCGCAAACCCTCAGAGAGCCAGAGTGGATGACCCAGGTCTGTGTGTCTGGTGCAAGGTGGAAGAGGTACTCCAGGCACTGGGCTCCCTAGGGTCTGTCACTTGGAATATGCCTGTGCTTTTTCGTCTGTGCCAAGTCTGGGAGCATCTGGGGATGGACCAGCCTTAATGGGATGTGGGGCACCCAATGGCATAGGTGCCATGACAGGAGGCACAGAGGACTGGGGACAGGTGAGACTCCAGGCCAATCCTTCTGAGGGTGCCTGAGGCTAGGCCAAGGGGTCACACTGTATCTGGAGGTAACAGGGTCTCCTTAAGGTTCTGGGGCCCCTGCTGGTGCCACAAGTCCAGGCTTTGAGTGAGGCGCTGGAGTAAGGCTGTCCACAGGGCCTCCTGACTCTTTTTTTTTTTTTAAGAATTTTATTTATTTATTTTCAGAGAGGGATGGGAGGGAGAAAGAGAGAGAGAAAGAGAGAGAGAGAAACATCAATGTGCGGTTGCTGGGGGTCATGGCCTGCAACCCAGGCATATACCCTAACTGGGAGTCGAACCTGTGACACTTTGGTTCGCAGCCCGCGCTCAATCCACTGAGCTATGCCAGCCAGGGCCCTCCTGACTCTTTTGAAAGAGCCAGGGGTCACAGTCATCAAGAGAGGTAGGGGCTGCCTGTGGGCCTGGGTGCTGGGGCCAAGTCAGGTCCAAATCCTGTCTTCTGTTCTTACTCGTCACGTGATTTGGGGAGGTTATGTCATCTCTGTGCACCTCCATTGTTTCATCTGATACATGTGAGTAACAGTAGAAGCTGCTCACTGGGTGTTATAGGAAATTCAACAAGATGCTTCTCCAGCCGAACGCCTGAATGCCAAAGACTTTACGCCACGTGGGCAGGTGTACAAGGTTTTGCTTTGCGACTTCCTTCGAAATCAGCAGATTAGAAACAGCAGACTTGTACTTCTAGAGGAGAGCAGTTAAATAAATGACGGTGTCACCTATGCAGTGGAGAACTGCACCGGTATGGAGAGCGGAGCACTCCTGCTGCATTGACTTGTTGCCCGAGGACACAGGCTGGGGGAGTCTCGAGGGTTCAGAAGGCCCCCACTTGGTCACACGGAAAAACAGACCGGCCTCGTGTGTGCGCAGACAGACTTGCTCTGGGAGTGCTGGCTCACTGGGCGCTGAAAACATGGGTTTCACTGGGATGACAGTCGGGGAGGGCTGGGGGGTGGGGTGGAGGCCCTGTTCAGCTGGCACCTCGGTCCCAACACCAGGGTCCTAGGACAGGTGTCAGCCACTGTGGCCTGTAGCTGAATCTGGCCGTCTGCCTGTTTCTGCACAGCCTGTAAGCTAGGAACACTTTTTACATCTTTACATGGTTAGAAAAAATTCACAAGAAGAATAGCATCTTGTGACACATGGACATTCTAAGAAATTTCAGTGCCATCACCCGTCAATGGAGTGCCATCAGCACACAGCCCCGCCCACTCATTTGCGTGTAGTTGGGGCCACTTTCAACCACGGGCATGGCTGAGTCCTTGTGACAAAGACTTTCAGATTTAGCAAACCTAGGCACGGCCCTTCACCCACAAATTCTGTGGACCCTGGGGATCCCTGTGTTTCCTTCTCTGGAGCAGTCACATCCCTGTCCTTGGTACTGACCACACGAGGTTTCGGGGAGCAGAGGGGGGTTCCATTTAACAACCACCCGTTCCGGGAAGCCAGAGCAGAGAGGTGCTCTGTCCTGGAAACTGTGCCCTTTCCTCTGCCCTGGACTGGTCTCCCCCAAGAGGATCCCTGGGGCTCAGGCCCTCGCACACCAGGCCCCAGGCACCTCCTGCTAGAAGGAGGCAGAAGAAGTCCGAGAGCTCACAGGCACAGCTCTGGTGGCAGAGGCCAGAGGCCTCCCGAAGGGGCTTGTGTCCCAGCCCCAGGGAACTCTTGGGAGTTCTGATGCCGGCTCAGGTGTCTTCTTCCCAGCTCCAGGCGGCAGGGTTGGCGCCCAGAGGAGGGTCTATCTGGGCCCAGGAAGCACTACCTGGGGTGGCAGTTGGAGGAAGAGACAGTTTCTGGCCTGAACAAAGAGGGAGTAACAGAAGCTGCTTGAAAGCGCACACAAGGCGCATTTTCGCAGAGCCACGAGTGTTGTTATGACAGATGTGTGTGCGTGCACACGCACTCACGCGGATGCACCCTACACACACACAGTCTTGCCCATTACTCCTATGCTTAGGAGCTTGCACACGCCCCGCCCACGCATGCCTACGCTTGTGCATACCTGTGTAGGTGGCCCTGATCCTGGAGAAAACCCACCCCCTTGTCTCCCCTGGCCCAGTGCTGGCTCTGAGTCTGAGAAAGACTCAGCACAGGCCCTTTGTCCCGCAGGATCAGGGCTCCCCAAGGGGAGATTTACCGGGAGTTTACAAGTCCAGGCTCCCTGTGTGGGCGTGCCCCAGCACTCCCTCTGCTGGGAGCCCAGAACAATGGGGCTTCTCCTAACCGGGCTGGCTTCCGGGTCTCCTGCCTTCTAAGTGTGAGGGCTTAAACAACAGGCTGTATCCCACCTGAGGTCTCCATAACCCCCACCCCCACCTGCCTCTGTGTTTCCAGAGGCTTCACTACATCATCTCCTTGTCGTTTGCTAGAGTTCGGAGGTGCCTTGGAGAAACGGCCTCTGCCCCGACCCACACCCCAGCCACCTTCCATTTGCCTGTCCTCGAATCTGCCTTTCCAAACAGATTTCTGGGCCAATGTTCAAACAAAACTATGGTTATTTCCAGACGATAGGGTTTAGGACATTTTTCCTACTTTTTTCTCTATTCTTTTTAGTATTGCTTCAATTTTTTTACAAGACTGTATCAATTTTACAAGAACAGTGTAATTACTCTTTTAAAAACTGAAATGCTCCCTGGCTGGACTGCTCGGTTGGTTGGAGTGCCATCCCACACCCCGAAAGTTTGTGGGTTTGATTCCTGGTCAAGGCACATACCTAGGTTTCAGGTTTGACCCCAGTTGGAGTGTGTATGAGAGCCAAACAATCGCTTTCTCTCTCACATTCATGTTTCTCTGTCTCTCTTTCTCTCTCTCTTCAATAAACGTATCCTTGGGTGAGGATTAAAAAACCTGAAATGCAGTTTTTAATCTACAAGTTCACAGAGGATATAGAAGTGGAAGTCCTCAGTGTCGGGAACACTTTGGGAAATGGGGCTCTCTTCCTCTGCTGGGGGAGTGTGCTGGGGACCTTCTCATGGCTGAAAAACCTTAAAAACTTGAAGCCTCTATGAGTTAAGCATTACACCCATATAAAAGTTATCCTAAGGACTGGTTAGAAAGATGTGCCAAGATTTATAAACAACGATTTGCATGGAGTTATTGTTTTTAATGATATTTTCAACAACCCAAATGTCTAACACTAAGAGATGGCTTACAAGATTGGTTCTGGTGATTTTCAAAACTACTTCTTATGCTCCTTTCTAACCAGAATGCAGTACTTTTATAATTACCAGATGATAAAAGTACTGCAGATTTAGAACTTTTATAGTTACTTTTACTTTATAAAGAAGTCTGATTCTGAAATGACAGAACCATTTCTCCCGCTCTCTCTCTCTCTCTGTTTCTCCCTCTCTCAACTGATTCTAGAGAGAGAGGAAGGGAGGAAGAGAGAGAAGGAGAGAAACACTGACGTGAGAGAGAAACATCAATCAGTTGCCTCTTGCATGTGCCCTGATTGGAGGCTGAACCCACAACCCAGGCATGTGCCCTGACTGGTAGTGGAACCTGCAACCTTTTGGTCTTTAGGACGTCGCCCAACCAACTGAGACACCCTGGCAGGACTCTCCCATCATCTTAAACAGTTGTCCAGGGCAGCTGCATGATCAGACTGAGAAAGACAGGGTGAGCGCAAACTCTTCTTCAAGTTAAATACTATCTACTTCTCACATTAAAAGGAAAACAAGCCTCTTTTGCAAGTAGATGATCTGGGTATAGGCCTTTGGGCCTAGTCATAGACTCAGAAAGGGAAAGACCTCCGGGAGGTGGAGAAAAAGGGAGACACTAGTGAAGAAGGACTCTGAACAGCAAGGCTGCTCAGCCTGGAGACTGAGAATGTGAGTGATGGGAACCAGGAGGCAGGCGGGCAGGGTCATCACGATATAGATTGGAAAAAAGCATTGCTTCAGTCGCCTTAAGTTCCCTGCATTTTTGCATACTTGCTTTATTTAGTAAACATCCTATGAGGACCCAGGACTCCGTTCCACTTCCTTACCTGGACATGAGCGCCAGACTCTTGGCGGTGCAGCCTCTGCTCACTAGCGCCCCCTCCTGTTGATTGGGGTACATGACAGGGACAGGTGCTGAGAGGGATGCGATTTTTACCGTAGGAGAATCCACCTGAGAAGATGGAGGATGTCTGATCCAGGGTTCTACAAGAAAGAGGGACCAAGGAAGTCGCCAAGATCCAGCTTGGCCCTGGAGACCATGGGGTGGCATCTCACAAGTCCGTTATGAACTTCCTCCAAAACCAGGGTTTCGTGGTGAAGTAAGTTTGTGGAATATTTCCTCTTACAGATTCCTGATGCACTGTAGTATATTAGAGTCTCCAGAAAGTCCCGCAAGAAAACAACCAATTTAACTTTTTCAAAAGTCTATGATCATAGAGTTCTTTTACAAATAAAGTCCACTAATATATCTCGGAAATAACATTCCATGAAACATGGAACTTGGAAATAATGTTCCATTGAAACCACTGCCAAAGAGGATCCATGGGCGAGGGGCGGGGGCTGGGCTGTCCCAGGATCAGCCTGGAGAGCGGGGAGTAGGATGGTCCGCAGTCTTGGCGCTGTGTTCACGCGGGGCCGCAGGGGCTGCGAGCTCTCCTCCTCCTCGCACAGCCCTGCCGGTTGGGCTCAGACCACCGTAACGACGATAGCATCTCTTGCACGCACAGTGCTCACTCTGTGCCGGTAGAGATCTAAGCGTGCACTTGATGTATTAACTCAGTTCTTTCTCACAACAGTCTACAGGGTGGGTACACATTTTTGGATGTGGAAAAATAAGTTGAACTCTCATTCATCACTAGTGGAAACACAAAATTGGTACAGCCACTTTGGAAGACAGATGTGTCTCCAAGGCTGCTATACAGTTTGGGACATGTCTAAATCCTAATAATGCCCACAGGGCCACCCACCGGGTCTTCTTATAGCCCGAGAGAGCTGTTTCTTCCGATAAGATCCCCAGAGTAAAAAGGGATGGACTCACTTGTCTCTGAGGTTCCCCAGAGGCAGATGCTGAGAGGGATCAGATGTGAAGGAGGGAGGACCATGGTAGGGTGGGGATGGCGGGACAGCTGGCTGCAGCCCACTTCTCCTTTTGGGGGGGGCGGAGGTGAACAATGGAAGGGTCCAGGGAATTGCACCTGGATCAGGAAGTGGCTAGGCCCAGGGCAGCATGGTCTCCATTCTCTTTGCACCAGGTGGTGCCTCCTGTTCTGGCTCTGTCCCCAGGAGCTCATCATCGGTGTTTCCCTGGGAACTTCCTCCCGGGGCCGGCAGGGGTTGCTGTCCAAAATTGCAGAGCAGCCTCAGAGGGGCAGAGCCCTGTGCTCCCAGGTGTGTGGAAACTGCCCCCGACCAGGATGGTCAGGAGAGATGAGGCCTTCAGAGGTGATCATGGACTTTGTCCAGGGGCACCCCAGGAGTCCTCCTATAGCCAGAAGCAGCCCCCCTGCCCTGTACTGCTCAGCAGAGGAGCCCAGAGAACCCACCCACCCAGGTCATCTCCCCTTTCCCAGTTAGGTCAGCCCTGTGGCCAGCCTGCCCTAGGAACCTGGAGGAAAGGTAGGTATGAATATTTCTTGATTTGGTTCCTTTATTTGTGGGCTGGCTGATGCCCCAATGAGGAGGTGGTGTTGCTGCAGGCAGGCCAACAGGTCCAGATCTGTCCAGGTCACTCTGGAGCCATGAGCTCCAGGAAGAGGGAATTACATTTCCCACCCCACCTTCACAGCAAGGCCTGCATTGGACCTGGGGCACCCCCACCCCCCAGGTAGGGGAGTGTAGTCCCCCAGGACCACTGGGCAGGTGAAGATTCCCATTCTGACACACCAGGGAGTTGTGTGTTGTCAGGCGGATGCCACTACGGGGCCCGCTTTCTGCACCCTTCTCCTGTCCTCCAGTTCCCTGTGAACCCAAGCCCTCTCCCATTTCTACTTCAGGTTGGTCCCTGTTGCCCAGTGGGTGTGACGAGAGCTCTCCCAGACAGGCTGGGCCAGCCTGGCCGTTTCATGGCTGGAAGCTGGAGGATGTACTGTGTCATTTGGACCTTGAGTCTGTTGCATAGTCCTGACTCCCTCACTGCCAGCGTTTCTGATTGTCCTTTTCCTTGCAATTTACTGTTAACGCTATTTCTTGAGTCTATTCCATGTCACAGCCTGAAGCTGGTGACTTACTGTTCTGATTGCTTTCTGGTCATGCCACACTGTCACCTTTAATCTCTTTTCAGGCCCTCCCTCCCCCATAGGTTTCACTGTTTTTGTATTCGGAATCTTCAATTTTCTGAGTTTTCACACTGGACTTGCAGGAATGCAGGCTTACGTAATGTATTTCTTTCCTATTGCTGCTGTAGCACATCACCCCACATTTAGTGGCCTAAAACATAAGTTTACTGTCTTACAGTTTGTGGGCTAGAATTCTGCCAAGTATTTCACTGAGCTAAAGTGAAGGCGTCAGCGGGGTTGCATTCCCTTCTGGAGGCTCTAGAGAGCGCAGTGCCTCACCGTCTTCGGCTCCTAGAGGCCTCCTTCAGTCCTTGGCTGGTGGCCCTTCCTCTGTGTTCAAAGACAGCAATGGTGGGCTGTGTCCTTGTCGTACACATTACCCAGACTTCCCCTCTGACTCCTCCTTCCAGTTTTAAGGACACTTGTGATTACATGGGACTCACCCGGATAATCCAGGAAAACCTCTCTATCTCATGTCCTTGATTCAGTCACGCTGACAGAATCCCCTGGGGATCAGGAGCACCACACCCAGTGTCCTTGTCTTCCAGGGCCACCACGCTGGGGCACACTCCCTGCGGTTTCTCAGAGGGCCCCAGAGGGACTTTCTGGTACCCACATGGTAACCTCCTCTTTCAGGCAAATGTCACTGGGTTCTTCTCTCTCTGCCTTGGTTTCCCCGCTCCTGACTGGGGCTTCTTGGTATCACCTCACAAATAAACCACCTGCACCCCAGTCCTACTCCCAGGTCAGCCTCTTGGGGACCACAGTAAGACCAGAGCACTGGTACCTGTGTGATGGGGCCGCCAGCATGAGCACTGAGGGGCCAGGGGCATTTCTGCCACAGCACCCCCACTCCAGTCTTCCTAGTCCCCAGGGCCCCTGGTGCTACTACTGTCCTTCATAAATTATCTTTCTGATTGAACTAACCTGAGAGGGTCCTGTTGTTTGCAACCCAAACCTGTAATAGTACAAATGGGTGCAGAGAGATTTAGGAGTTTAGGACGGGTCTTGGAGTGGAAGGGACACAGGTGACCATGAGGTGTCCAGGCAGCCACCTGAATTCATAGAATGTTCTACGAGGCACTCAGTAGAACATGCACACGTGTTTATTCGAAACAGGACAGGAAGGGACTGGGTCTGAGGCAGCAGATGGCCCTGACTCTCACGAGCTCTGTTGGACTCTGAAGGGCTGCAGGAATGGGGTGCTCCAGAGGAGGGGGAGGCACAGGAGCAGCAGCCAGGGGTCTGGCCTGTGAATGCTGCTGCGGGCAATCAGCGTCCGCATCCATTCGAAGTGCGAACTGACGTTGGTGTAGACACCGGGCCGGTTGGGCCTACCACAGCCCACTCCCCAGCTCACGATTCCAACCTGATACCACAGCCCTTTCCTCTCGCAGGCCAAGGGTCCACCTGAGTCACCCTGGGGAGCAGAATGGGTGAGCAGGGCCCGGGGCAGGGCAGAGAGGCTAGGAGAGCAGGAAAGGCTATGGAACTGGGCAGACTGGGTGCAAATCCTACCCCTCCCCCCAGGAAGTGACCAAGTTTCTGCATCTGCAAAGCAGGGCTATAGTCTGTATCCCCTCCACCGGGTTGCCACGAGGACCAAATGATATAGGGGACTCTCAGGTCTGGGGCCGAGCTGGCGAGAGCCTAGGACCCAGAAGGCCTTGGCTGGGGTGGGGAGGGACACTCACAAAGCAGGAGTCCTTGCCGCCTTGAGGGTCACCGGCGCAAACCATGTCTCCCCAGATGTTATAGCGGAAAGAAGACTGTGAGAAGAGGTAGTTACACATGGTGGTGTTTATGATGCCGACCTGCACTTCCTGGAGGATGTAGGGAGACGGCAGCTCTACGTGGGAGTTGAGGGAACAGAGAAAAAATAGCATCTTGAGCCTCTCCTCTGCCATCTGGTTGGGAGGAAGGACTTAGGTTATGGGGTGGGGGTGGGGGATTGTAGGGGGACGGGGGAGTAGAGGAGAGGGGGAGCCGAATCCCGGGGGTACCCAGAGTGCCTTGATGAGTCTGCTCTAGCCCGGCACCCAGCACCTCATGGGTGATAAGCGATATCACAGAAGGACCCAACGTCTGGACAGGCTGTTACAGCTCCTGCCTAAAGCCCCGTTTCCCTGCGTGCAGCAGGCAGATGACAGCCCCTGCCAGAGCCCGCAGAGAAGGGCTAGCGCGGCCAGGATGGTTTAGGATCACTGCATTTCAGGACCGGAGCCAAGAGCTTTCCTGTCACTCTTGGCGCTCCACAGCACCCCCGGGAGGCAGCTCAATCGTGACTGACTTTCAAGTAAGGAAAGGTGCACCCAGGAAATGCCAGAGCCTGACATGAACCCAGGTCTATCCAAGTCCGAAGTCCCAGCCAGGACCACCACTTCGTCCCGCAGAGGATGGGGACCACGACGACACCAAAAGCTGCTATGTCGGTGGAGTCTCCTGTCTGCCGGCAACGCTGCTCAACCCTGTGTATGAACGCTTGCAGACCTCAGAACCACACTGTGAGGTGGGAACTGCTATTACTCCACTTTACAGGTGAGGAAGCTGAGACACAATTAGATGAAGTGCTTGCTGAAGGTTTTCCAGCTAGCATATGGTAGAGCTTAGGTTTACACCAGGCAGGGGGGCTCCAGAAGTCACCAGCCACCTGTGAGGATGAGGGTGACCACCGGTCAGCCTTGGGCTAGGGAGGGAGGGAGCAGAGTCTGCCTGCTGGGCCTCCCGGCTCACACCTGCGCAGCCCTTCGGGCCCGGGAGGTCTGCAGCAGGGGCATTTTATTCAGCCCCTTCCGGGGGGAAGGAAAGGACACCAGCTCTGGAGGGAGACAGGTCTAGTGTCGACTTCTCTGTCCCCCTGCCAGTTCCGGATGTGTGACCACCACAAGAGCACATCACTCTCGGGACCGGTGAACCCTGGCTTCTTCACTGAGTCCTGCAGCCATGGGCAGTTTGCACACCCTTGTCAGCTTCCTCATCTGTAAAGTTGGTGTAAAACTGTTCCCAGCTTCCTGTGCAGGTAAGCTCCTGTAGGCAGAGGGTCCCTGCTCACTCCTGAGTTCCAAGAGCCTAGAACAGTGCTGGGCACAGCGTGCAGAGGGCAGCTCCCTCTGCTACTGCTACAGTTGTTAGGGGTGAGGCAGGAACGGGCCAGGCAAGGCAGCCGTGTAAGGGGCAGTCCAGGTGGGAGGTCTGTGCCTCCCCCAACCCCCGGGCACCTCACAGGAGGCTGTACCGGGTGGTTTCAGGGAATTCATGGTGAGAGATAAGCAGGTGGCAACTAATGCTGCCTCAAGGACCTCCTGCAGAGCCCAGGGTGGAGAATGGCTTGAAATTTTGAGGACAGAGAAATGGGCCCAGCTCCCCAGGAGAGCAGGCCAACAGGGGTAGGTAAGGAAGGTGTGGAGGAGCCAGAGTGGGGAGGTCGGATGGCTGGGGGAGAGGTGAGCACTAGGCTGAGACCTCTCTGACAGGCTCCCCCCGCCCTTTGCACCTCTGAGGCTGGGAGCACAGCCTGGGCCACGCCGACCGACCTCTCCCCACTGGGTGCTGGCTCACAGTCTCGAGGGTAGAGGGAACTGAGCACGGAAAGTCCTGCCCTGCCTTGACCGGTGTGGCTCAGTTGGTTGGAGCATCATCCCATCCGAAAGGTTTCGGGTTCAATTCTCAGTCAGGGCACATGGTGAGGTTGCGGGTTCAGTCTCCAGTTGAGGCATGTATGAGAAGCAACTGATTGACGTTTCTCTCATATCCATGTTTCTCTCCCGCTCTCCAGCATGTCTTCAGGTAAGGATTCAAAAAATGTCTCCAGAAAGTCCTACCCTTTCAGGGCGAGCAGGAGGGAGAAGAGGACACCGAGCAGGCCCTGGAGGGTACCCAGCTGTGCACAGACTAGGGCTGGGGCTGTTGGACTGATGCAGCTGGAACAGGGGTGGAGGGTCACACTCGTGCTCCCCTGCCCCAGACCCACCGCCCGTCCCCAGCCTCACCCTGATCTTCTTGGATGTCCCCCCAGCCGGTCACCCAGCAGTCAGACCGGTTCTGGAAGTCGACGGAAGAGGCCAGGACACAGATGGGCTGGATGTACTTGTTGTAGGTGACAGCGGAGGACAGCCTCAGCATGGCAATGTCGTAGGCTGAAGCCCCCAGGTACTTGGGACTGAAAATGATCTCTTCCACCCCGTAACGGTTGTAGTAGGCCTGCAGGTTCCAGATGGACGGCATGGCAGACAGCTCACCAAACTGGACTGTCCACTCATAGGGGTCATTGTTCCTGGCAGAGAGGGGAGAGCAGTCCAGAGGCCTTGTTGGAGGGTGAGCCGCCCGAGCACAGCCGGGGTCTGCTCCCCAGGGTGTGGAGAGCCAGAGAGGCTGCAGCTGAAGACCCAGACCATGGGCATTTGGGGGTGGGGTAAGGCAAGAGGGTGCTTTCCCTCTGTGGTCTAATCTGGCCAGTCACTCAGCCAACCTGTCACCTCTCAGGGCTGTCTTTAAAAATAAGAAGCAGAGGCACAGGGGCCAAAGAGGGACACTCAGCAGGGCAGGGTCAAAACAGCTGCAGGGGCTACTGCTGCCCCCGGCGGGGCTCTGCCCAACACACACCCACCTCAGCCCATTCCTCCCGCCTGCGGCTCATCTCCCCTGGGAGGCGGGGTGAGAAAGGTGAAGGCTAGTTGTGCCATTTACTGAGAAGAGAACAGGAAAGAGAAAAGAGCAAAACACACAAATATGCATGCATGGGAGTGTGCTAGAAGACTCTTCTGGAGAAAACTGAACAATGTTCCTTGCAGGAGCACATGGGGAACTCCCATGGGTGTGACCAGCTGCCGCGGGGCCTGGGACTCAGGAGAGCACCAGCGCAACGTTGGTGTACAAAATGCGTCATGCAGACCCAGGGTCGCTGTTCAGCGGACAGCCACCCCCGGACTCACTTTTCAAAGCAGTGCGCTGCGGAGAGCACCCAGCGCCGGTTGAGCAGGCTCCCTCCGCAGGTGTGGGAACCCCACAGGCGTAGGCTGCCCTGCCACGGCCAGCGCCCACGATCTGCGTCCTTTCCGCCCACCACACGTGACCCGATGGCCCGTTGGCCACACGGCCCTGGGATGGACAGACCGACATAGGGCTGAGCTGCAGGAGACACACCTATCTGCCCACCCTCCCCACCTGGGACCTCGAAGGAAAAGGAGTTGCCCAGGAAGCTGCGTGCATCTCGGGGTCAGGCAGTGGAGGAAGAAAAGACGTTGGGGACCCTCCCAACATGGTCTGCAAGCGTCCGCCCCTCCCCCCACCGGGGGCGCATCAGTTACATGTGAGTAACGACGAGTTCTCGAAACCTGGGGCGAGAGAAATGAAAAGATGAGTTGTCCTTTGCACGCTAGCCCAGGTGTACTGAGCAGGCAAGCTAGCGTCTTGGGCGCCTTACCTGGAAACAGCACGTCCTGATCCTGCCACCCTGCGGGGGAGAGGAGAAGATGAGCTCCCCTCAGTCTCCATGGGCCCCATCCTGCCCCCATCACCCCTAGGTCAGCCGTCACCTCCAGCCTGAGCTCACCCAGCATCTCGAGTTCCACTGGCACCAACAGCTGCACCAGCAGCAGCGCCGCGACTGGAGCGCCCATGGCCTCCTCTCCCTGTGCTCGGCGCCCCCTCTGCTTCTGCCTGCCCCAGGGCGGGGCTGGGGCGCCCCCTGGGGAGGACAAGAACCCTGGCCGCCATCTTCTCCTAGCTTGACCTCTCTGGGTCCAAGGGCTTCTGGGAATATCGGACCTCACAGCAACCCCAGCTTTGAGTTTCTCCTGGGGCTGGGTCCACAGCTACACCCTTGATATGACCCTGGAACCAGTGCACCCAAACAATCTTTCTCTTGTCTGCAACCCTGGGATCCTGACATGCCCCCTTTTCTACCCACTCCTCCTTCTAAGAAGGAATGAGGACCTGGCCCACAGCCAGAACTCCCGTGAAAGCACTCTAACAAGTCCCCACTGAGTGCCCATCCGGGGCTAGGACTGTTCTGCGGACCTAAAAAGGGAAGATCCCTCACAAGATTTCCTTTGGGAAATGATGGTCTTGGGCCTTGCCCCTACCTGAGGAGGCAGCCGTGCTAGTCCTGGCCTGACCAGGCTGCCCCCTGGTGGCTGGCCTCAGCCCCTCTTATCCTCATCCCCTGGATTAAATCTCAAAAGTTGAAACATCTTTCAAGTTTTTACTTTCCAGGGGTTCTGGGGGAAAGGAAATCGCCCAAGTGGGAGAGACAGATACCACTAGGTTGTCCATCCCAGTGTCTCTGTGACCAGGGACTTTCTGAATGGGGATCCCAGGAAAGCTGTGCCTGCTTGGTGGCTCTGTGTATCCTGAACCCCACCAGGGATGTGGAATCCACAAGGATGAGTTACCCAGCATTGGCTTCTGGGAGTCCCTCCAAACAGGGACTCTCATCAACAGCTGCACTAGCAGCATGCCCCAACCAGAGAGCCCATGGACCCCGAGGAAGGGGTTGTGAAGGGCGGACGGCCCTTGGCATGCTGATGGGGAGAAGGAGGTGAGAGCCGGTGAAGGACATGACCACTCCACTCAGTCATGGATGGGAGAGTCTGGCTTAGATTGAGGGGTTGGGGGTGTCCTGGGACAGAGGCTGAAGCTCCCACTTGGTGGATCTCAACCTGCCCTTTCCTCCTCCTTTCTTGTCTGCCCTGTGAAGTGATCCACAGGGACCGGCTCACAAATCCCCTTCACCTCTGCTTGGGGTCCCAGCCCTGTGCTCCGTCCTCCAGCCAGTTCCCAGGTTTCCCTGGAGAGATGAGTTAGAAAAAGAGAGAGACAGATGGAGAGCAAGCTCAGCCTGGCCCGAGCCTTTGTCGTTCATGTCCAACGTGATATGGATTTACTGCCAGCCCTAGCCACCACTCCAGGACACCAAGGTCTTCCCATGACACTCAGATTGAACTTCCCCTAGACCTGCTCAGGACCCTGGGATTGACCACTGGTTCTGAGCCCAGAATCTCCTAGATGTGTCGCTCTGCTACACATCTAGGAGATTTCTTTTGAGAAATCAGCTGACAGTCTTATGGGAACTCCTTTGTAGGTAACTGTCTCTTTTTGTCTCACTGCTTTTAAGATTCTCTCCTTATCTTTAAGGAGTCTAGGGACAGAGCTTCTGGGGAGAGTGGACTCAAACAAGCCCTGCGGCTTGCAGACCTCATTTTTCCTGACTGAAAAATGGAGATAATAGCCTTGACTGGTGTGGCTCAGTTAGTTAAGCGTCGTCCCACAAAGCTGAAGGTCACCAGTCCAATTCCTGGTCATGGCACGTGCCTGGGTTGTGGGTTTGGTCTCTAGTCTGGGTGCATACAAGAGGCAACTGATTGATGTTTCTCTCTCACATCAATGTTTCTCTCTCTCTCTTTTTCCCTCCCTTCCCCTCTATCCAAAACTAAATAAATAAAATATTTCTTTTTTATTTTAAGTAGATTTTATTGATTACACTTAAACAGTTGTCCCATTTCTTTCTTCCCTTTCTCCTCCTCCAGCCTACACCCCCACTCCCACCAGCGTGCCTCGTCCCCGCCTTACTTCATGTCCATGAGTCGTACATATAAGTTCTTTGGCTTCCCCATTTAATACATTATTCTTAACCTCCCTCTGTCTATTTTGTACCTACCATTTATGCTTCTTATTCCCTGTACCTTTTCCCCATTCTCCTCTCTCCCCCTCCCTGCTGATAACCTTCCATGGGATCTCCATCTCTGTGATTCTGTTCCTGTTCTAGTTGTTTGCTTAGTTTGTTTGTTTTTTTTATAAGTTCAATTGTTGATAGTTGTGAGTTTGTTGTCATTTTACTGTTCCTAGTTTTCATCTTCTTCTTTTTCTAAGTCCCTTTAACATTTCATATAATAAGGGCTTGATGATGATGAACTCCTTTTTTGTTTTAAAGATTTTATTTATTTATTTTAGAGAGAGGGTACGGGGAGGGAAGAGAGGGAGAGAAACATCAATGTGTGATTGCCTCTCACTTGCCCCCTACCAGGGACCTGGCCTGCAACCCAAGCATGTGGCCTGACTGGGAATTGAACTGGTGACCCTTTCATTCGCATGCTGGCACTCAACCCACTGAGCCACAACAGCCAGAGTGACAATGAACTCCTTTAACTTGACTTTACTGGGAGGTACTTTATCTGTCCTTCTATTCTAAGTGATAGATTTACTGGGTAGAGTGATATTGGATATAGGTCCTTGCCTTTCATGACTTTGAATACTTTTTTCCAGCCCCTTCTTGCCTGCAAGATTTCTTTTGAGAAATCAGCTGACAGTCTTATGGGAACTCCTTTGTAGGTAACTGTCTCTTTTTGTCTCGCTGCTTTTAAGATTCTCTCCTTATCTTTAATCTTGGCTAATGCAATTATGATGTGTCTTGGTGTGTTTCTTCTTGGATCCAACTTGTTTGGGACTCTGAGCTTCCTGGACTTCCTGGAAGTCTATTTCCTTTGCCAGATTGGGGAAGTTCTCCTTCATTATTTTTTCAAATAAGGTTTCAGTTTCTTGCTCTTCCTCTTCTCCTTCTGGCACCCCTATGATTTGGATGTTGGAACATTTAAAGTTGTCCCAAAGGTTCCTAAGCCTTTCCTCATTTTTTTGAATTCTCATTTCTTCATTCTGTTCTGATTGAATGCTTATTTCTTCCTTCTGCTCCAAATCATTGATTTGAGTACCAGTTTCCTTCCCTTCACTGTTGGTTCCCTGTATATTTTTATTTATTTCACTTTTCATAGCCTTCACTTCTTCTTCTATTTTGCATTTGTATTCAGTCATTTCTGTGAGCATCCTGATTACTAGTGTTTTGAACTGTGCATCTGAGAGGTTGGCTATCTCTTTGTCACTTAGTTCTTTTTCTAGAGTTTTGTTCTGTTCTTTCACTTGGGCTATATTTCTTTGTTTTGGTGCACCTGTTATGTTGTAAGTGGTGGAGCCTTAGGTGTTCACCAGAGCGGGTGACCCATGTCTCTGCTTTGTGGTACTGTATGTGGGGGAGGGGTCAGAGAGGGAACAATGTTACTGTCTCGGCTTTCACCTCACTTTCTGTCACTTCCCCCAGCTACCAACAAGCCAATTGGGCCCTTCTGGTGCTGATTCCCAGGTGGGTGAGTTTGTATATAATCTAGGACCCTGCGGGTCTCTCCAACAAACTCTCCTGTGAGGCTGGGAGTTTCCTCTGCCACTGTATCCCCAACAGATTTTTACAGCCATTGGTTTTAAGTCTTTATTTCCCTTCACTGGAACCCTGGGTTGCATGGTCTGTCTCATTCCCCAGTTATTCCTCCCTGTTTATCTGCACTCAAATGTGGGACCACCCAGCCCACCAGCTGCCACCTTGCCCACCCAGTCCATCACCTTGCCTCGCATTCTTTCCTCCCCGGCTGCCCATCTCCACTCCTTCTACTGGTCTGGATGAATGTTTCTTCTTTAACTCCTTGGTTGTCAGGCTTCCACACAGTTCAACTTTTTGGCAGTTCTGGCTCTTTTTCATTTGTAAATTTGTTGTCCTTCTTTTGGATGTGTGAGGAAGCAAAGTGTACCTTGGTGGGATGTCCCAAATCTTTATTTATTTTTTCTTTTTTAAAAGATGTTATTTATTTATTTTTAGAGAGAGGAGAAAGGAAGGAGAAAGATAAGGAGAGAAACATCAATGTGTGGTTGCCTTTCATATGCCCCCTACTGGGGACCTGGCCTGCAACCCAGGCATGTGCCCTGACTGGGAATCGAAGTGGTGACCCCTTGGTTGACAGGCCCATGCTCACTCTACTGAGCTATGCCAGCCAGGGCCCAAATATTTCTTTTTTAAATGGAGATAATGGTAATGTGCACCTCTCAGGGCTGCTGGGAGATCCTTTCACACACACCGTTCCAGCCCCTGAGGCATGAGGAGGATGCCTGCTGGACGTGTGGCCCTCTGCCAGATCATCTTTATTACCTTTCAGACACACTTGCCTGCAAAGGGACTGGTCCAGCACTGGGGGCTGGAAACCTCAGTTCCAAGAGTCCCAGAAACCCCAAAAGGAACCCCTGAGCCTGGGTGCATGCTGGGACTCAGCCTTGGATGCTGGGCTAGAAGCAGGGAACACTAGGCTGTGTCCCTGGGAGTGGGGTGTTCCCCAGGCTGGCGGGGAGGGTGAGATGGCAGGTCAGTGCCTGTGAGGAATACATGGGAGATCTGAAGAGGGAGAGATGTGGGGGTATTAGAGTGGGGGGCTTTCCAAGGGGAATAGGCCAGAGAAGTTCCCTGGGGGACAAAGGATTCAGTGGATGGTGAAAGGCAGCTTTCTGGGAGGCCTTGGGGAGAGGTCCCTGTGAGAAGCTGCATACTGCATTCTGGCATGGGGTAGACAGAGGGCATGGGTTTGAAATGTGGGGGCTGAGGTCTCAGGGCTGAGCTGCATATTTAGGCAATCCCCAGGGAGATGGGGCTGTCTCCATTGGCCCCAGAAACAACAATAGGCAGTGAAAAAGATCCCAGCAAGGCTTGGAGAGAATCTTCTGTCATCTGGGGCAGAGCTCTGGACTGTGCTGAGAACCCATGTGGTGTACTCACCAAAATTGGTGTAAGCGCCTGGCCTCTCTGGGAGGCCACAGTCAGACCCCAAGCTCACTACCTCTGCCTGGGTCCACAGACCGAGGGGTCTCCGGAGTCACCCTGGAGAGAAAGAAGAAGCCCAGAAGGGTAGGGCAGGAGGTCTGGACTGCCCAGGCCCAGCTGCCTTCCTTACACAGGAGGAAATTAAGGCTCACAGGACTCTCTCCAGGCCCACCAACCTTCCTTTAGAACTGCTGGCCAGGTCTAGTGGACAGAGCATCAGTGGCTCGGATGTTTCTGGAAGGCAGCAGGGTTGGCTGGTTTGGGAATTAGAGATGAAATCTCTGGGAGGAGGGACAAGCAATGCGATGGGAACACTGTATTTTCTGTATAACACTGGTTTTCAGAATAGGGCCTCGGAAGGTTACTCCTGCATTACTAAAAGCACTGTCGGCTTCATTTTGATGAAAAGTCTGATTGAGATGAAGCAACACTAAGAGGCGATGGGAGATAAAGTGTGTTTTGCTTATAAAAAGATAAGGAGCGACAAGACCAACCCAGTTCAGAAGTGACCAGCTCCTTAGGAAAATCATTTCAATGTCTCCAAGTGTTATTTTCTGGAAAGAAAAAAGAAACTTCTGGCCCGAAAGGAAAACCTTTAGGGGGAGAGATATGTCACAATTTGCTTCAGCACACTCACAGATATTCTGTGTTCTGATAATATTTATATGATATTTGAAAGGGAGACAGGGTTCAGAAATATTTCTTTCCCTTTTTGAATTGACACTTTTATTTTTTTAAAAATGTTGCCCTCATCTTGGGGTCGCCAAAGCCGGTGCTTGCGTACCCCTCAGGCATCCTTCTGGCCACTCTGAAAACCAGCACACAGCGTGTCCTCCAGGCTGACGGGGACCTGGCTGGGGGTGACAGGATTTTCACTATAGGGGGTGTCTCAGGTCTGGGTGTTAATGAGGGGCAGCTGAAGCTCCTTCTAGGTGAAGGGTGCAGGTAGCGTTGGGGTGGGGAGCAGAGAGCAGAATTAGGGGGAACACGATGGCCTGTGGTGCTTGGCTGGCATGCCCACTCTTCGATGGACCAATGGCAAGAAGTCATTTCTGTGTGCTGCTCCTCCGCCCCCCAAGGAACAGGAACCTGTGTTTCTGCTCAGAAAACCCTGGTGCGCGTGCCAGGGTGACCAGGTGAGCCAGGTGCCCTCTTCCTCCCCAAAGCGGGGTCTCCACTCAGAGGTGTGGTGGGCCCCTTGCCTTCCCCCTCAGTGCCCAGGCAGGGGAGTGGGATGGGCACACAGCCGGGGGCCAGGCAAGAGCTGAGACCTGGTTTCAGAGCCTGGCTCTGTCTGTGGACTGTGGTCGAGTCATTTCTACCAAATGACCTTAATCTTCTTGGCTTTCCAAGGGTAGGGTCAAAAGTGGGTTAAATAGTGCCCCTCAAAGTTTCATGTCCACCTGGAACCTCAGAATGTGACCTTATCTGGAAATAGAGGCTTCACAGATATATTAGTTAGAATGAGGTCAGACTGGATTAGGCTGAGAGTACCCTTATAACGGACAGGAGAGGAGACACAGGGAGACACACACGGAGATGGCCCCGTGAAGACAGAGGCCGAGAGCAGAGACATGCAGCCACCAAGCAAGGAGCCACCAGAGCCACCAGAAGCGGGAAGAGGCAGGAAGGAGCCTCCCCTAAAGCTTCCAAAGGGAGGCCCGGCAACCCCTTGATTTCAGATCTCTGGCCTCAAGAACTGGGAGAGAATGAATGCCTGGTTTCGTTTTCATTTCTTACGATTTTATTTATTTATTTTTGGAGAGAGAGGAAGGGAAGGAGAAAGAGAGGGAGAGAAACATGGATGTGTGAGAGAAATATCGATCCGTTGCCTCTCTCATGCCCCCACCCGGAGGCCTGGACCACAGCCCTGGCCTGTGCCCCGACTGGAATCAAACCCGTGGGTTTCTGGGATGACACCCAACCCACTAAGCCACACCAATCAGGACAAATTCCTGTTGTTTTAAGCCACTCGGTCTGTGGCCATTTGTTACGGTACCCCCAGGACACTAATCTGCGGTGATATTGCAAACATAACGGTGACCATGACATGACGATGACCACAACGGTGATAGTTGCTGAGAAATGTTAAGAACTCACTCTTGCTCAGCCCTGCTAGAAATGCCTAAAATGCATCATTCCATGTAACCCTCACATGGACCCCATGAGGGTCAAATCTCTGCTTGCTGGAGGAGGAAACCACGGCCAGCGAGGCTGGTGGAGGTCACTCAGCTAGGGTGAGCCCAGGCGGGCAGGCTTTGACCCAACCCCACGTGGACAGGGGTGGTGGGTGAATTCTGCAAACATGTAGATGGCGCAGGCACTAGCCCATCAGAATAGTCTGGGCCCAGGTTGGGCCCACAACCCAGAGCCCTCTGCTGGGCCTGGCATCTGTCCTTCGATTATTGGGTGCTGGGAGGATGGGTTGGGGAGCCTAAAGTGGGGCCTGGGGTGGTGGGCTGCTTCTGCACTGGCTAGGGCCATGCCACGGAGTGCGGGTTCCATGTGTGCCTTGAGTGGGGGTGGTGGCAGGGGCAGCTGGCTCTAGGGAGCATGTCAGGACAAGCCTCCACTGAGTCACGCCCCACCACAACGCTGACACCTGTTCTGGGCATCCTTATGGAGATTCGTGTTGATGTTCCCCCAGACAGTGACCCAGCTCCAGGTGCCATGACCCAGCGGGTCTGGGTTTTGGGGAGGCAGACTGGGAGGATGAGGTCACGGAAGGTGACTGGGGAGGTCAGCTGCACTAGGGTGATGTCCCTCACTGCTGTGCACCTCCACATGGCTCGGGTGGGTGATGAACTGGGACACGATTAGAAGTTCCCCAGGCTTATCAGCCCCAGGGTAGGAGGAGATGGTGCTCAGCAGCACAGAACAGGCAGACAGCAGCTGGTTCCTAGGGCCAGAAATCCAGGGTGTTTTGAGACCATGCCCATGTTCCATGGGCGAGGGCTAAGGACAATCTTGATCTGAGTCATAACATTACAAATGGATATTTTTTGTGAGCTGAGCTCATGCCAGCAGCAACAATGTTTAATCCACAAGTGACCCTGCAAGGTGCCCAGTTCTGTTTGGTGGGAGGTGAAGCCACCTGTCCAAACGCTGCCCAGATGGTAAGCAGTGGGCTCGAGGCCTTGGATTTTCAAGGGACATCGTGCTGTGGGAGCTTTTGGTTTCTGAGAAATGAATACTTTCTTGGGAGGGCCAGTGCTGAGTGCCGATGCCTTCTCCCCAGCTGTCTTTCCAGTGCCCAGCCTGGGGACCGGGGGAATCCTCTGTAGATAAGTGAGACCTTAGGTGGACACAGCCCTGGCCCGACTCCTGCCCAGGCTCATGTTCAGATGGGGAAGGGAGCGCGTCGGGGCGGGGTTAAGCACAGGTCCCAGCTGGTCCTGGCTCAGATTCTCACTGGTCGAACCGGAGGGCTGCAGTCAGCACCGGTCCTTGGTGGTCACAGAGCCCCCACACACATGCTGTCGGTACTCCCTCAGGCTGGCCTGCCAGGGCCTGCTGGGCATCCTGACCCAATATGATGTGGGTGGGCGTCCACATGCTGCAGGGCGAGGCAGCGGGCTAGATTAAACGAGGTCCCCTCTGCACTCCCCTCACCCTACAGACCCACACTCATTTATCCCTGCCCCTTGTGAGCTGACAACTTGTCCCCTCTGATGCAGGACCCTCTCTTTACCGGAAAACTTTTGACCCTGGGGGAAGGTGCACAGCAGCCGAGTTGGGGGAGGTGGGACCTAGGGACCTGGACTGCTCAGCCCAGCTTGGTGGGGAGAAGGAAGGTCAGGCCAGATGTGCCGGGGCTCTTGGGGAGGCTCTGAGTGCAGCACAGTGCACACGATACAAAATGCGCCTGGCAGTGGGATTTTGGTGGAAGCCATGAAGGCTCTGGGTCTGGGGGAGTGGATACCAGCCCCCAATATCTGGGTTTCTTAGAGGACCTGCCCAAGTACAGAGTTATCGGGGTGGGGTTGGGATTATAGACCACTCTTTATCTGTCCCCGAAATCCAGGCTTTCTCTCCTTCAGTGCTTTTCTACCCATCCCAGTATTTGTCCTACCCGAGGCCAGGTTTATTGCTCTGGCATTTGTTGGGGAGAGGCTGAATGGAGAGCTTTGGGGTTTCCTTGAGGATGTGCAAGAGGAAGAACTGGATGGCCATGAGGGCCAGCTGCATGGCACCTTCCAGCCACCACTTCTGGGGTGGCGCTTGGGGTCAGAGTCCTCAGACACACTCAGGAGGGGGAAGAGGACTGCAGCTGCAGCCCAAGTTTCTGGGATCACCCTGGGGTGGGGCTACACCTCCGCTCCATGTCCTCAGGCCTCCGGGCCTTACTCTGCTCCTGGGCACAGGGACCCTGGCCTCTTCCACATCCTTGGCAAGACCCTCGATTGCTCGATTTAGGCCACGGCGGGCCTCAAGACCCCCAAGTGCTCGATTTAGGCCACACTCATGCTCAGTGACCGCTCTAGTGTTATTGCTTTTCCCTGCTGCCTGATCTCTTGATTGCTGAGAAAAAAATGTTAATTTATTTGTTTCTTGAGTATTTAGAACAATTTTTCACTTCATGTATTTCAAAACACTATTGATGGGTTATGTATTTCAAAGTTCATGCCTCCAACACCTTTTCAGTGGCTAGTAACTTTTATCAATGTAAAATATCCCTACATTTCATTGGGTTAGCCTTGGGTTCTCTTTTACCTGAGATTGTCTGATATATGATAACACACAGCCACTTTTGTATTGTTTGCAGTTTCTTTATTAATATATTTTTTGGATCAAAACAAAATGAAAAGAAAACACTTATAATACTAGAGGGGCAAGTCCCTAGTTGGGACCCAAGCCTGAGCCCAGAGGGTTCTTGGCTTTGGGCGGGAAAGAATTCTAGATAGAGCCAGACAACAGGTTAAAGTAGAAAAGCAGGTTCTATTGAGCAGGGAGCACAGGCAAGAAGAGCCACTCCACAGAGTGACAGACTTTCCTCATGAGAGAAGGAAGAGAGACCCCAACCATCTCCAGAGGCTGAGCTTGTATCTGTTTGTAGTTTCTATGGAAAACTGATGGTATGGGGAAATAGAGAGTGGAAAGAAATGTTAGATTAACTTTAAGGTGTATTTTGTGGCCTGTTTTCCCTTTAAGGTATGGATAAACAATAAGGTACAATGAGTGGCTATTAATCAATCTTTGCGGGACTTTTCTCCGTACAGAGGCTCCTAGTGGTCAGCTCGCTTCTGTGGTCAGCTGAGTTCTGTGTCCGGCAGCACACAGCAGGCCCCCGATTTTACTTTGACTTTGGTTGATTTGTGCCCATCTCTTATATTACTTAGAAATTACAAAAAATGAAATTTCTTAACCTACTTGCTCTTATTAGAATATACTTGCTAGAATACTTATAAAGTAGTAAACTAATTCTATTAACATTCCTATCAATTTTTGTGAGTGCAAAAAAGTTTTTTAGGTTTTACTGATATGGGAAACAAAGGCACATCCTGCCTGCTTGAGACTCTGTCTGAAAACTTCTAGATTGTCAGGTTTATGTAAAAGCCAGCACATTCAGTAATAAAGCTGGTCTAAAGACATCACAACAGTCCTTAGCATCATCACTAGCGAGTATCTTAGAAGTCACAGCCATTCAGTAATCTTTTTTTGTGCTCACAGGTATCAGGTCACCTGCTAAGTGTGACTGAGGAGGTAAAATATTCGAAGCCCAGGTGCCATGCATGGTCCGAATGCTTGTTTCTCCCTCCTCCCTGCAGATTCGTATGTTGACATCTTACCCCCAGAGTAGTGGCATTCAGAGGTGGAGCCTTAGGGCGGTGATTTGGTCACGAGACCAGAATCCCGGAATGGGATGAGTGCCCTTATAAAACAGACCCCAGAGAGCCCTGTCTCCCCTCCTGCCATGTGAGGACACAGAGAGAAGGCAACAGCTATGAACCAGGAGGAGGGCCCTCACCAGACGTGAGTCGGCTGGCACCTTAATCTCAGAATCCCGGCCCAGGAACGTGAGAAATAAATGTGGTTGATAAGCTCCTAACTTTGTGGCATTTTGTTGGAGCAGCCCAAATGTACTAGGACGATCAGCAAAGCCTTTGACCTGGAGATGTTTTTCTCACGTGTTTTCAGTACATTCTCTGTTGCTGCTGATGTTACATCAGAATATACAGAGTGGAGGAGGTACTTTTTTTCTTCACACTTAGGTAATCTAGGATAGTTCACAGGCTGTAGACTGCTATCTGGAGTGTACGGGACCAACGTCCAGTACAAACTGCCTTCCTCATGATCTGCTGATGGGCATTCTAGAGCCTGGCCTGGTCTGTGTCTTTCCTCAACATTTATGTTAACTAAAACATTTTTTATTACAGGCATTTAAAAATACACAAAGATGTAGACGAGTAAAAAGAACACCCAGCATCTGTTGCTCAGCTTAAATAACTATCACTATAGAGCCAATCTTTATTATTACATTTATTGGAATGACACTGATTAATAAAATTATATAGGTTTCGAGTTTAAAATTCTATAATGCATCATTTGTATATTTCATTGTGAATTCATCACCCAAAGTCAAATCTTCTGTCACCATTTTTTCAACCCCCTTTACTCTTTACTCCTCTCCCCACCCTTTCTGGTAACCCCCACACTGTTGTCTGTGTCTCTCGAGCCAGTCTTTAGTCCCCTCTGTGTCTTCACATTTTTTTCTCATGGAATCTGCCCTTTTAAATTTTCGCTCCGAGTTCTGACCATGTTTCTCTTCTGTATCTTCAAGTGTGCCAGTCCACTCTGTAGCGATGTCTATTTCATTATTCAGCCCTTTGCCTAAAATGTTTTACTTTAACATTTTAAATTTTCCAATACTCTTTCTGGTTCTTGGATTATTCTTTTTCCAAATAATTCTTGTTTAATGATTGTAAATACTTCTAGAAGCTTTCGTAGGATACCAGTTAGAAATTTTCAAGTTGTCTGATGTTCCTGCTGGAGTCAGCTTTCTCTGGAGTCCAGTTTAGTTTATTCAAATAGATCCTTCCGGTGCGTGTGTAGATTTTTCGCAAACATTCTTCATCCTTGATTGTTGTGCAGTTAAAGGTTAACTGAAGAGACACCTAGGATATTCAAACCCTACAGAATCTAAAGAAAGGACCAGCCCTTGACCAGCTCCTAGGAAATGACCTCTGAGCCCTTGGAATGTCCTGCTTGAAAACAGTGCCTTTGTAGACCTGGAGCCTCGTGCCACTCCAGAAAGCTGTCTGTGGAGTCTGTGGAGTTAGTTGAGGCCAGATGTGTAACAGCAGGTAGACAGGAAGGCTAATAGCTTTCTAGTGGTCAAAAGCAGGCCAGCTTTTATTCTGTGGGTCCTATAAAGGATCATTACTTTTAACAGAGGTGACACAGTGCTAGTCCCCAATGGGCACTCAGAGCAGATTTATCAGAACTCCTGTGTTTTCATAGGAGTTCTGGCTGTGGGCCAGGTCCTCATTCCTTCTTAGAAGGAGGAGTGGGTAGAAAAGGGGGCATGTCAGGATCCCAGGGTTGCAGACAAGAGAAAGATTGTTTGGGTGCACTGGTTCCAGGGTCATATCAAGGGTGTAGCTGTGGACCCAGCCCCAGGAGAAACTCAAAGCTGGGGTTGCTGTGAGGTCCGATATTCCCAGAAGCCCTTGGACCCAGAGAGGTCAAGCTAGGAGAAGATGGCGGCCAGGGTTCTTGTCCTCCCCAGGGGGCGCCCCAGCCCCGCCCTGGGGCAGGCAAAAGCAGAGGGGGCGCCAAGCACAGGGAGAGGAGGCCATGGGCGCTCCAGTCGCGGCGCTGCTGCTGGTGCAGCTGTTGGTGCCAGTGGAACTCGAGATACTGGGTGAGCTCAGGTGGGAGCTAGGGGTGATGAAGGTAGGATGGAGAGCATGGAGACTGAGGGGAGTTCACCTTCTCTCCTCACTTCAGGTTTGCAGGATCAGGGCCGGCTGTTTCCAGGTAAGGCGCCCACAAACGCATGTTTCCCGGCTCAAGACACATAGGCCTGAGTGCAAAGGGCGCTAAATCTTTTCATCTCTCCTGCCCCAGGTTTCGAGAACTCGTCATTGCTCACACGTAACTGATGGGCCCCTGGGGGAGAGGCGGACGCCTGCAGACCACGTGGGGAGATTCCCCAACATCCCCTTCTCCTTGGACTGCGCGACCCCAGGACACCCGCGGTTTCCCTGGGGCTGAGGGTGAGCAGGCGTGCGTCTTCTGCAGCTCAGCTCCATGTCCATCTGTCCATCCCAGAGCCATGCGGCCGCCAGAACATCTACCCGCGCATAGTGGGAGGAAAAGACTCGGTTCTCGGGCGCTGGCCCTGGCAGGTCAGCCTGCGCTTTCATAAAGGCCACACCTGCGGAGGGAGCCTGCTCAACCGACGCTGGGTGCTCTCCGCAGCGCATTGCTTTGTAAAGTAAGTCTGGCGGCTGTGTGTGATGGCCTGCTGACTGGGCCCTTGGGTCTGCACCGCGCATGTTTTACACAGATGTGACTGACTCTGGTGTTCTCCTGAGTCCCAGGCCCCGCGGCAGCTGGCTGCGCCCTTAGGAGTTTGTGGAGGACGGTGAAGGCTGATGTCAAAACTCAGGTTAAGTGCCGGCAAGGCCACGATTGACCACTTGCGTCTGCAAAGCAGAGCAGGGCCAGCAGCTGAGGGCAGCCAGAACCCACAGGGGTTGAGAGGGAAACAGATAACCTCAAGCTTCAGCTGAATGCGACTGTAACTTTTGCAGAAGACATATTTATCATTTAGATGGCCTGGGATGGAACAATCTTTGTCTGCAGCATTTCCCTAAGTCTGCAAAACTTCCTTGAGCTTTTTGTAACTAACCCCTATAAAGTAAACGCAGAGACCATGTTCAGGGTCATTGTCTCTCCATCTGAGGACAATGCTCCACCTGGCCCCCGCTTTTCTTTTCTAAATGCAGGTGATGCAGTGCTAGGCGAGTTAGCTGGAGCTCCCTTCGTACTTGTCGGCAGACTAATGAAAAAACACAGAATAAGATTAAAATTCACAAGCACAAGTCCCCCCATATACCATGTGCTGTGTTTTAATAGATTGAATAGATTAAAACCTTTTAACTCAGGTAGTAACTCTTGAGCTACTTGTGCAGGGTTTATAATAGGGTCTCTGGCTTCTTGTATACCCCTAATCTCTTGAT